TTTTACATTAAGAGAAAGGAATATATGTAATGCCGCTAACCATTTTCATTTTAAACCCTTAATTATTTGCAATAGATGAACGTATTTTAAACGTTATTTGTTTTTTGCTAGGCTAAGGATTCAGTCCAAGACTGTACCTCTGGCAGGAATATTAAAATATTAACTAAGGACCTGGTAAAATGTCCTGAAGCTAATAATCTAAGTGATGTTTGCCTTATAATGCACTCCCGACTGCCGCGGTGGTAATGTTCTTTTGTGCTCATTACTATTTCACAGTTATGTTCACAGGCTCTGTTTAAAGCTACATAATTAGCAAATGCTTTAGGATAAAACCACTAAAAGGTTCTTCTAGGCTATTCTTCTCTTTGCTCACTGTTTGCTCAGAAGTCTTCTATGCTTTAGCCTATTGTGCTAATATTGATTTCTTCGCCCACCTGCCAGCTCCCTTATTCTTGGGCATCTCAAAAATACCATAATCGCTTGTCATTCTCTCCGCATGGGAGCCATCCAAAGCCCTTGGCTGCCTCTGTGGGCATCCACTGGTTAAGGATTTTTCAGCGGCCCCCTTTTCCCGCTAGGCTCTTGACCGGCTCCGCTGTGCTTTCTGAAAGGCCCACTTCCCTTTCTGCCTGGGCACCGGTGGCTGCAGGGCCGCTTTCTCATCAGGATCTCACAGCTCTAACTACTTGGGATATAACACTCGCTTCAACAACCTTTTCTCCTTTGCTCTACACCTTTTTAGTGTGGGGGGTATGGTAATAATTACAGATGATATTGTGAGTTATTGATTTCAGTCAAACCTCTCAGGGTCCCTGACAATTCTCATGATTCCAATATTAAGTGGAAGCAATTTAGTTTCCAAAGCCGGCTCCCCGCCCCCCAGCATTTCACATGTTGCTTGACAGCTGCAATCCCTTGGCTTTTGGTTGTCGAATTTGCATTCGTTTCCTTTATGGTGTGTGTGCCCATTTAAAAAACAACCACCATAATCTTATCTTTTCTGGAGAACAGGAGAAACATCATTTAGACTTGCAAATGACAAGGAAGGCAAGGGAGGCGGGCAAATTGGTAGATAAACTGGGTTCTCCCAGTTTTATTGTTCTGGTTCTTCTCTTGCTGTACTTGCCATTGGAAACAGGAATCTCCAGTTACAGATACTTACTTATTCTTTGGCGTCTTTAAATTATATGACATCACTTATGCAAAGGCAGTTTAATGATAATTCCCATAAGTTGATCTTAAATCAAAAGGTGAGAAGAGTAGTGCCAAAGCTCAAACTTCTATTGAAATTTATAGAAATAGTCTCAGTACTCAGGAAGGCTGAATGTGTGCTGTTTTTCTTATCATTAGTTCACTGTATCTCAGATTTTTCTCCCTACTGTCTGAGAACCTTTGTATCTGATTATACAAATTTCTTTGGAAATACATTATATTTTAAGGTTTTTTTAAAATAAAATTTTTAGTGTGGAAACATTTAAACATATACAAAAATCTGTCATCACTCAGCTTCAACAATTATCAACTCATTAGTCAAGTTTGTTTCATCTGTACCTTTACCTACTCTCCCATGCCCATAGGGTAATTAATAGTGAGCAAATCTCCAGACATAGCATTTCATCTGTTAGTATTTCAGTGTATCTCTCTAAAATGAACAGGACTCCAAAAAGCATAGCCATACTATAATCAAGCCTAAAAACTTAACAGTATTTCCTTAATAGCATCAATTGACTAATCAATATTAAAATCTCAATTGTTTTATAATTTCTTTTTACATTTGACTTATTTAAATCTGAATCCAAATATGAGCCACATGTTACGTTTGGTTGATATGTTTCTTAAATGTCTTCTAATCCACAGTTCCCCTTATTTCATTTTTTCTTGTAATTTGTTAAAGTCCTTTAAAGTTTTTAAATTTCAGTTTTGCTGATTGCATTCCCATACTGCTATTTAATATGTTTCTCCATTGGCTGAATTTCCTGTATCCTGATCAATAGGTCTAGAGATTTAATTATATTTTTTATTATTTTGGCAAGAAGTTTATAGGAATGTTATTTACTTCCACCAAGAGTCCAAAATGTCTGCTTATTTCTGTGATGTTAAATTGTTTAGAGTTCTTAACTGCTGCCACTCTGATCCATTATAAAGTTTACCATCAGTTGTTAACATAAAGTTCTTAGTATCCACTGCTGATCATGACTGAGAACCCATTATTCGATTAGGTGTTTCAAAGTGATATATGCTAACAGTGTCATTTCTTCTTCATTTATTAGGTTTTATTTAAAAATATTTATTTTGGTAAACAAATAGTAGGTAATTATTGAGCACCTATGATGTACGACTCTGCTACACAGTATAAGGGGAAGACAAAATGCATATATATCATGGACCCTGTTCCAAATAGAAATGGAAGCATTATGCTCAAAACAAGTCAAGAGCAATTATAGTATAGTAAAAGGATTAAGAAAAGAGAGATGAGCATGGGTTGGAGAATGTTTCATGGAAGATATAGGACATGTGCTGGCCAGGAAGCATTTTATGAAATAGGGGGAAGCTGAGGACATTCCAGCTGAGGGAATAGTTTGAACCATGCTGTGAGGCTAAGAGCAGTAAGGGAGGCGCAGGAAAACAATCTACCTAGAAATTACACATTAGCTAGGCTAAAGTGGGACATTTGTTGGGAGGGAGAATGCTGAATTATTCAGGCCCTGGTTGGAGAAATTGACATCACCCTGCAAACTTTTGGGTATTGTTCTAAATGCACTTGGCAGACGGACTGAGTGGACTTACAGTGAAGTGGCCTATGGAAGTTCAATAATTTAGAAATTGATTTGTCATAAATAAAAGCTCATCAGAGCTTAAGAAATATAAAATTGCCTGAGTCAGATGTAAAATGTAAAGAATTACAAACTACAGAGATACTTGTGTTTCCACAGAATAAACCAGGATGTTTGAAAGAAGAGGCAGGTGCACAAGGCTTGGTGTGAAGCTGTAGCAAAGTTAAAGATGCTGAGTTTATTTTTGGAAATGCTGTATTTTGGGTGCACATACAAATAGCAGAGGCTTTAACCATTTGTTAGGATGGGATTGCAGACAAAAGGCAGAGCTGATATTGTACATTTTAGAGTCACAGAAGTGATAGGTTAACTGATAGGAGAGAATGTGCATATCAAATAATGAACATAGAGAGGCTGAGGTCAAAGAGAAAGGACAGCATTAGAGTTGCGGGTGTGGGGTGGGCAAGGGAAGCGGGAAGAAGAGAAGGGTAGTATCCGCTGGTGGAGAAGCAGGAGGGGACAGTGTATGGCCTAGGAAGGAAAGGGTTTTAAACATGAAGGCGTGGTTAACAGGGTTAAGCACCACACCAAGGTTCCGGAAAGGGGAACTGAGGACTTCCTTTGGGTGTTCATGGGGGACCTCACCAGCAACACTTGAAGGACACTTGGTTTCCATACAGCATGTCTCAGGCGGAATATGGGTTATAGGAAGAAATGGTTGGGAAGCAGGAGGTCAGGACAGAAGGCACAGGAGGTCGTATTCCAGGCATGGAGCTAAAAGAAGGAGGTAAATACGATGGCCAGGAGAGCAGACGATAGGAGAACCTAAGTGTGTTTTAAAACTGAGAATCTGAATTATTTTGGTTATTTTGATATATAGGGCAAATATATTTTTAGAAAACAAACTTTGAATAGTTAAAGTGCAAAAAGAGCTTAACTAGTCATATTAATTCATCATATTTTAGGATATTTTCTTTGTTTAAAAAATTAATTTTCATTTTATGTATTACTGTAATGGGTCACACTTATATCAAACATGTAATATAAGGTATTAAATTGGGAATGCTAGTTTCTTCCTTTACTAAAAAAATCTGCATATCTCTCCATCTCCCTCCTCTCTGCTTCCTTAGCTACATATGTACATGGAACATGTAAATATTTTTATTTTGTTAGTTTCATTGGTTTCTTGCTTGCAAAGATAATACATGTTTATTATAAAAATATTCCTCAGCACAGAAAGGCTTAAAGAATAAATTTTTAAAATTCCATGAAATGATGCTATTCAGGGATAGTTAATATATTATTTTGGTAAACCTCCTTCCAAATTTATTTCTATGTGTAGATACATAGATTATATTTATTTTGTATGAGAGGGTACTGTAAATGTGGTTTTGCACCTGCTTTTTGCATCTAACGATATGTTGTGGACATTTTCTATGTCAGTGAATATAGATAAAAAGCATCCTTCTTCAGCGGCAGTTATTGTATGAAGGTACCGTGATTAATTTAAGCTGTCTCCTATTGCCAGACACTTAGGTTCTTTCCAACTTTTGTGTTTAAGCGGCACTGCAGTGAACATTCCTGTGGGTACATTTTTGTGCACTTGTCTGATTGTCTTCTTTGAATAACTTCCTGAAAGTGGGTGTGGGTCAGAGGCTACCCATGTGTTATATCGTGAATATTTACATGTTGCCCAATGTATGCTAGAAGTTCCAGTTTACTTCTACCAATAACACCTATTAGTACCTAAAAAGTTCTGTTAAATATCTTCAAAAATTTTTTTCACCCTCATTTGGGCTCATTTTTCTCACTTATAAAATAATGGGGATGAAATAACCTGTGGTTCTTAAACTTTTTAGGATCTTAGGACCATTTGAGAATTTTTAAAAAGTGTTGAACAGAAACTAGAACTGTTGTATCATATGAAACACACCTGTGCAAAAGCAGAGAAATTTTATATACTGTTTATGAGCATTCACAGATCCTTTTAAGTTAATTCAGAGTCCTTAGGATTTCACTCCTGAACCCCAGTGAAGGATCCCTGAATGAGGAGATTTTAAAGCTGCTTTCTTCTTTTAACACTAAAGCAGCACGTCTTGCACACAGAATTTCAGCATGAACTTGGAAAAACTCTGACATCTGCTTGCTACAGGGCCTAGTCTCGTTGTGATCGGAGACATCACTTGAGCGTGTCTAGTTCTTAATATGAATGTCTACTTATTTCAGGTTCTGCAATGGCGAGCCCACCAGGAAGAGGTAGCAAGACTGGAAATGGAAATTTCTGCCAGAAGAAGAGAAAAGGAAGTAGAGAAAGAGAAACTGTGGAAGGAGAAGGAATTGTTAGCGAGAGAAGAGAAGAAAGAAAAGGTACAAAACTTGCAGTTGCTGCGAACGTGTGAATGAGTGTTCAGCCGCCTGACGGCTCTGGCCGATCTTGTGCTTCGCGTGGGATTCTCATGGGCAGTTCTTAGGAAGATGTGTGGGAACGACGGGGGGCCCACTTTACTTACCTGACAAGCACAGATACTTGTGATTAGAAGAGATGCTGCAGTCAGAGAAAAGACAGGTTTAGTGGCTGCTGTTAAGTCCTGTACTAAGCAGGGACATAGCAAAGACCAAGTGCACTGGGATAGCATTTTAGTTGACTGCTGTGCAGTAAGTGATGGTCAAAAACTGAGAGAAAGGCATTCTGAAAGATGGTAGAAAGACCTTTATCAGCTTGCACTAAATAAACAGTAATAAAAGGGAAAAGTAAGCTCTAAGCCAAGTTGATGGTCAACCTTTTGCAATTCTATAGGACCAAGGCATGTTTTTTATTTTATGTTCTTTTTAAAAATACTTCTTACATGTAGAAAGTATTTTTTTAAAGTACAGAAAATGATGTGATAAATGGATTACTACTCATCACCTAGCATTGAAACTGTTAACATTTTCATTCTGTTTCAGATTTATTTTATTCTACAGATAAAGTCGAAGTCCCCCTTTGAGGACGTACTCAGTACAATTTCCTTTCTTTCCTCCTCAAGGGCAATCTTGATCATGAATTTTATTTCTATCTTTCAAAGCCATCTATTGCTTTTAAAAGATTTTAATATGCAATTTGTGAATTTTACTTTTTTTCCATGAATACTATCATACTGTATCATTTTGCAGCACATACTTCTTCATTCAACCTTACATTTTTTAGCTACACCTATGTGAAAAGACAGAGGCGTAGTTCACCCCTTTTAACTACTATATGGTGTTCCACTGTAGAAGCAGGCTACCACTTATCCCTTCTCTCAGTGGCTGACATTTAAGTTTCTAAAGTTTGTTCTTGCAGCCATGCTGTGGCAGCCACCTCATGCATGTCCATGGGGCATGTGTGCATGGCTTTCTCTAAGGTATGCCTTGGAGGGGAATTTCTATGTTCTTGGATCTGTATGCTTTCAATTTCATAAGGTTTTTTATATTATTTTATAAGACATTATAACTTTTCTTTTTGACTTTTACCAATCCGATAAATGTGAACAGTGTCTCATTGTTTTAAATTGGATGCCCCTGATCACTTGTGAGATTGAAAATCTCCTCATTTATTGGGCAGTTTTCTTCATCTGTGAATTGCTTGTTTGTACTTTTTGTCCATTTGTCTATTTTTTCTTTATTAATCTGTAGAAGTTCTTTATATATTCTGGATATTACTGCTTTTTATTAGTTATATAAGTTGCAAATGTTTTCTTCCATTGGTCATTTGCCTTTATTTTATTTTATTATTTTATTTTATTTTATTTTTGTTAATCCTCGCCTCAGGATATTTTTTCCATTGATTTT